AAAGAAAGAAAGAAAGAAGGAAGGAAGGAAGGAAGGAAGGAAGGAAGGAAGGAAGGAAGGAAGGAAGGAAGGAAGGAAGGAAGGAAAGAAGGAAAGAAGGAAGGAAAATACCCTACTAGTCTCTGGGTACTTCCCTGGCTAACTAAAGTTATCTTAAATCTGCCTTGGTGAGTTCCGACATCACTAAGTGCATCATGAGTATTTTCTGCATGTGTGTGTTTAGGAAATAAGAGCTCTGTAAGTTCAATACTATAGCTTGGGCATCCTCAGAATGTATGAAGTTTTTGTAATATGTAGATGAGATTATATCTTGCTCTGATGACATCTCTCACCTTCCTAAAATTCTTCAGAGAGAAAAAAAGATTCTTCAAACCAGCTGTGCCTAATAGATAATGTTCACACCGTGAAGTCCCTTCATGCTTCAGCCCTTACCCTCACCTCCACCACAGCTCTGCATCTGTGTGCCTTTGTCTTGTTGGGCTGCTGTAAAGAAAATGCCACAAACAGAAGAGCTTAGAGAAAATGGAGATGGACATTTCACAGATCTGGACATTTAGAAGTCCCGGCTCAAGATGAAGGTAGACTCAGTGTCTAATGAGATCTCACTTCTGGGTCCATAAAGAGCTATTTCTGGATAACCTTCATGGCCCAGGGGCTGGGGGGTGGGGTAAGGGAGGCTTTTTTCTTTTTAAGATTACAAAATCCACTTATGAGGACTCTATCCCACAACCTAATAACTTCCCAAAGACTTCATTTCCAAATACTATCAATTTGCGATGGAGATTTTAACGCACGTAAACCGCTGCATTGAGTTGGTGCTCTCCCACAAGTACCATGCGCTTCCCTGCTCCCCTGCCTTTGCTCAATGTTTGTCTCCACTTAGAACACTTTTCCCCATCTGTATTTGGCCAAATCCTGTTCGCCTCCTAAACTCTACTGCATCAGCCCCCACATTTTCTCTATATATCCCCCATGCTAGGCAAAGTCTCACTATGTAACTCAGACTGGCCTTTAACTCTAGTCCTGTCTCTGTCTTCTGGGTGCTGGGATTACTACCAGGTACCACCATTGCTGGCTTTTCTTTTTTCTTCTTTCTTTATTTGGTGCAGGTCCTGGGGCTTGAACTAGGACTAGGACCTAGGCATTATCCCTGAGCTTATTTTGCTTAAGGCTCACACTCTACCACTTGGGTCACACTGCTATTCCAGATTTTTCTGAGGTTTGTTAGAGATGAGTCTCAAGGATGTTACTTCCCGGCTGGCTCTGAACCATAATCCTCAGATCTCAGCCTCTTAAACAGCTGGGATTATAGGTGTGCACCACAGATGCCTAGCTTTGCTTGTCCTTTGACCATCTATAAAGTCTATAGTGACGTCTTCTTTCTTTTCCTTCATCAAGTAGGGGCTTAATAATTTCAACACTTTTCTAAAATTAAAAAAATCTAACCTAGTTTTGGTTTTACTTATTTTCTTTATTGTGTCTATTTTCTTGCTTCCCATTTAATTTTTTATTCCTTCACTTATGGTTACTTTGAATTCAGCTTATCCTCCCCTTTGCCCCCATCTCCAGTGATTTGAAACCTTCTTCGTTTCTTTTTTTAAAAAAAATTATTTTATTGTAAAGTGCTGTAGAGAAGGGTTACGGTTACATGAGTAAGACAATGAGTATTATTCTTGTTGAGCATTGTTGCTCCTTCCCTTGTTGTTTTCCCACTATCCCTTCCCTCCCCCACTTCTCTTACTCTTCCCTCCCATGCTGAAGTTGTAAAGTTCATTTCCAATATACTGTCTTTTGAGCATCATTGTTGCAGTGGGTCATCCCATGTCCTTGTTTCAGTGTTTCTTTATTTTCCCTTCCCCTCCCCAAATTAGACAAATGTATGTACAAGATGCAGGGTACCAAAATCAAGTACAGTGACAACAGGGGATATGTGAGGAACATACAAAAGAAACAAAAAAATCACATAGTACATCTAAAACAACAGCAACAAAGAAAGACCTCGTGTCCATATCTTGGGGTTCCTTTCACTTAGCATCACCTTATATGGTCATATGTACATAGTTTTTTTTTTTTTTACCTTTTCTGCTTGTCTGGTAAGATTATCCTGGATGTATACTAATTATTGCAAATGAGGGAAACCATAGGACCTATGTTTCTTTGGGTCTTGCTTACTTCACTTAATATAATTTTTTACAAGTCTTTCCATTTCCTAACAAATGGGGAAATGTCATTCTTTCTGATGGAAGCATAGAATTCCATTGTGTGTGTGTGTGTGTGTGTGTGTGTGTGTGTGTGTGTGTGTGTGTATACATACCACATTTTCTTGATCCATTCATCTACTGAGGGGCATCTGGGTTGGTTCTATATCTTAGCTATGGTGAATAATGCTGCAAAAAACATAGTTGTGCTGGTAGCTTTAGTATGGTCTTGTTTGTGATCATTTGGGAAAATGCCCAAAAGTGGGATTGCTGGGTCATAGGGGAGCTCTATATGGAGTCTTTTGAGGAACCTCCATACTGCTTTCCAGAGTGGCTGAACAAGTTTACACTCCCACCAACAATGCAGTAGGGTTCCCTTTTGGCCGCATCCCCTCCAGCATCTGTTGTTATTAGATTTCTTGATTATAGCCATTCTAACTGGGGTGAGGTGGTATCTCAATGTTGTTTTGATTTGCATTTCTTTTATGGCTAGAGAGGTTGAGTATTTCTTCATGTGTCTATTGGCCATCCATCTTTCCTCTTTAGAGAAGTTTCTCTTTAAGTATTTAGCCCACTTATTAATCAGGTGGTTGTTTCTTTGAGGATTTGTTTTTGGAGGATTTAATTTTTTGAGTTCTAAAATATGCTTAGAACTCAAAAAATCAAATCCTTCTTCACTGCTAATACAGGTATTTCATACTATAGGTTCAGCAAGCAGGAAAAAATGTCCTCTGAATTTAGCATCTCACAATGGCTTAGGCAAGTACTTTGTATTTGAGCTACACCTCAATCCTCTTTTTGTCTCAGTTATTTTTCAAACAGTCTCTCACACTTTTTTCCCAGAGCTGGCCTACCTATTCTCACATGTAGCTGAGATTATGCTGTGCAGCACCTTGTTTGGATTGTTTGCTGAGATGGAGGTCTTATTAACTTTTTTTCCTGGACTGTCCTTAAGCTGTGATCCTCCAGATCTCTGTCTCTCTACCCCTGATTAGAAAAATTCAAAAATTTCTTCTTAGAGAAGCACAAGTGACAAAGTCTATGACAATATTCTGAAATCAGAACACATCCCACTGGGAGTGTATTAATCCCCCTGTGTAAGCACTGCTCTGGCAGCTTCCCAACTGATTTTCACATATTATATTTCCATTCAATTCAAAATACTTCTAACTTCCTTTTGATTCTTCTTTGATCAGTTTGTTACTTAGAAGTTTTTTATGCAATTTCCAAATATCTGGATATTTTCCAGAGATCTTTCTGCTTTTGTTTTCTAAGCAATTCCATGTAGAAAGAAAACATCTGCCTGATGTATCAGAGAACATTTTCATTCTTATCTTACGGTTAAATATTTTCTATATTTAGATGCAAACAAAAATATATTCTAAGTATATATGTGAAGGCTAAAATAGAAATGTTTGTTTTCAACTCCAATTGAGGATATTTCTTCTCTGTAACTGGAGGGTAGCAGCATGGGAAGGTAAAGGGAAAAGCAGGTTCTGTCTCCAGAATTCCTGGATCTGTTGCATGATTACAGTTGGGTGGCCCTGGACAAGTTATTTAACCCATATTCTTCCATACTGGTGCCTGCAAGTTAAGGCCAGATAATAATGGCCCCTTCGTTGCTATTGTTGAGAAAACCAAATAAATACATCAATACATTA